ATCCCAGGTAGTTGTGATGTGGGACAGTCCAGCAGTAAACCAGAAGTGCTGCTGCAGAGTCCAAATCAGACACAAAGCAGACGCTGCCTCTGCTCCAACTTTCCTGATTCATTGTGGCAGGCAGGAAGTCTCCCCCGAGAAGTTTGCAGCACTTTACAGTCACTCATCTGCCCATGTGGATCGGAGAGAGATCTGGGTCACGGGGGAGGATCATCATTAAAAAAACAAGACACCGCATGAGAAGACTAGCGGTGATTATTCAAAACTAACTTCTGAGATTCTGATTTATTGCTCTGCTAGCAATAAAGTCATTACAATCTTAAAGTTTCCTTGATCTCTTATGAAAGCTCCATTGGAGGAAAGGTTACTTTATTTTTTTTAAACTAACTTTTCACATTTACGAGCCCAGAAAAAGGAGGAAACCTGATAACAGCAAGTGGGTTGGAGTAAAACTGCAGTGGTAGTTGGGTGTGAATTTCTGTAGCAGACTGTGAAGTCTGAACGACAAGGCAATTACTTGTCCTGTGAATAGTAGACACTAGTTACAAGTATTTGACTTTACTTTGGGGGCACCTGATGCTACAAAGTCCACAAGTGCAAGCGCATACTCATCATTCAGTTGTATTGATCCATTGCCAATAGGACATGTCAGTCCTTACACTGACCTCTGTGTGGCCTGCGTTTTTTTTATTACACATCCTTTAAAAAAATATTTACTGAAACCTACCACACAGTTGGTGGATGATAGCCACGCTGACAGTCTTGTTTCTGATTCTCTAGCCTTTGTTTTCTGTCAGTTGAGAGAACAATGTTGCGATATGAAAAAACAATAGCACAAAAGGCATCTTGTCATGAGTATACACAAGTACGTGGTTATAGTAGTGCTTATGATGCAAACAAGCTTGCGTGCAACTACAAAATGTAGCAGGCACAGAAAATAACAAGGGGCGCAAACAGCACTGCAATCAGACAGCTGCATAAACCTGTGTTTCCCCTGACAGAGAGAAGTAGGTGCTCTGTTTCAGGATGTAACAACAGACTAAAATAATGAGTGACAAAACTTGGGACAATCGCACGCCAAACTTTTCTGTAGGATATATATAAATAGCACTACATCAGCTATACAAACAGATAGGCAGTGAGTTATGGCACTTTTCCTCACTGTCTAGACTGCACTCGCTGTTATGTCAGCTGAGAGATACAACACATGGAAAGCATTCCTAATGTAGCAACAGCTGAGTGAAGATGCAGAGCAAGAAGACGCATTAGCTCGACCACACAAGCTAAAATCCCTGTCATTTCTGGGTGGGAGCCTCCAGCTGTCATTCCTATTTTGGACAGTGGAGAGGCTGGGGTGTGGCAATGCCAACTTTGAATCCCAGCAAAGTTTAAAATCCCTGTGAGATGACCTCAGCATTCCCATGACCATATAAAGATAATATTTTATCCTGTTCAGCTTTAAGTAGGTAGTTACTTGTATCTATATGCAAACAAGGAAGCTTCCTTTAACATGATAACCAAAGACTAGACAGAAATAAGTGAGGTTCATTTCATTGGCTCTTCCATGTCCCAGTTTTCTTTCGCTGTTGATTATAGACTTCACAATACTAAATGCACACATTTCCATGAGAAACTTGGAAATAGAAAATGGGTCTTTCCAACCACTTTCAAGTGTGTGAATTGTCACAGCACTACATGGACAATCAAATCTATACTTGAGTGGCTATAAGTGCTACCCTTTTTTCTACAGCACAAACGTTTGGAAAGATGAATCCACCATAGTAACGCCTATAAAAGACATGAATTCTTGAGTACCTTCAAGTTGTTTGATTGGGAATTATAGAGGGACAGATGTTTTGAAGTTTGATGGTGTTACTTCAGCTTCTTAAAACTTTCCACTCAATAGCACTGTAATGAGCCAGGATAACAGGCTATTGTTTCAGCGCCTCTTCTGACTTGAAACCACTGATCAAAAATATCTTCAATCATGTAAGATATATAAGATAAGGATGACTGAAAGCACAGGGAGACAGAAATATAATGAAGGAGCATGAGGGAGAAACAAGGTGCTTTCAAAAGTGATTAAAACACTGGTCTTCATCTATTTCTGTATGGAGTCTGTATAACATCAAACTGTGCAGGCTAGCAGTGTATTCTTTTTATTCCAATACATTTATATTATTATTGTGTGGAAACGCAGATTAACTACATATTGATTTTAAAAGTCTGCTGTGATTTTCATCACAATAATAAATAACACAAAAATGAATGCTGGCAGGATACATGTTTAAAGCCTGCCGAAATATTTTCGTACGCTACAAAAATGAATGAAAAGTAATGCATGAAAGAAAAAAGTATTTTTCTTTTACTGTTACAGAGGGGTTTAATTTTAAGCTGAATTATGACATGAAGATGCAACTGTCAGCATGATTCTGTGTATATTGGTTATATATTAGATGTGCTTTGAATAAAAAGGACACACCCCAGTTTTGCCACACTGCATGAATTATTTATAACATCTTTCCTATACTCACAACCAACCATCTGACAAAGGTTTCGCAAATGCATTCATAACGAGTTCAGATATGTCTGAACAGGGTGAAAACAGCACCTGGTTTACTTAGTAGGCAGAGAAAATCGAGATGTATATAAAACATGACAAATACGAAAATAACTGAGGGTGGCAGAATGTGCATCTTGTTAGCCATAAGCTTTAAAATCTTCTGTACAAATCTGCTCTGAGACCAGCTTATAAACCGGACCAGTGGCAGCTCATCTGAACCCAGGCACCTGGAGGCTGCTCTCCTGTCAGCCCAGTAAATGGAAACCACTCAGGCATTTCACAGTTAAACCAGCCATCCTTGCACATATTACATTTCAATTTAGTTATATAAACTGGGACGTCTTGGGTACTTTAGATTGGCACCCCGTTTCAAACTCACTCTTACAAAAACAGTAGCAATCCCCCCAAAAAAGCACCACACAAGCATCTTTTTCACTCTGCGGGGGGTGGGGGTGGCTAATAAACATTCCTTCCTTCAGGCAACTCTTTTATATTCTTTATATCATATACCCCGGTGCCACAAATAAGCATGCACGCGCACCCACTAACACCTGGTTGCAAAGTCAGCAGCAGATATAACCCCAATATAAGATTTGCCTGCCAAAAAACGAAGCACCTCTGGGTTTAACAATGACTGATACAGCTGTCATCCACCCTTATTTTATTCTTCCTTCTGAACAAATGCATGTGCCAGCTGATTCATGAGGCAGAATCTGACAAATGAAAGACCCAAGCACATGTCATTGACACAGCTGCTTGTACGCAAACACTAAGAGTGGGATAAACAATTGATATGGCAATATATTGCTAAAAATGCATATTCATACACTACCACTAATGGTGCATTATTGGATTATGTGTCCTTCCATAAAACACTTTAAATCTGTAAATGCTCTCTAGTCAGATCAGCCTTTTGCCATTTAATGGTTTTGGTGTGTTGAGGGCAAATGGACATTCTGCTGAATGCGTAACATCCATAACAAGGTCCCCGAGCACAACGTGACGTCTTCAGAAGTCTTGTTCTGTCTGAGCAACAGTCCAGCCCCAAGCAAAGTCAGTAAACTACCATGAGAGACTTGATTTGGGAAGCCACAGAGCCAGAACATTTTGTCATCTTGCCTTCCATAACGACTTCATTATCAAAGAAATTGCCAATATATTTTCTGTCAATCCACTAATTTGTCGGCTCTGGAGGATTCCTTTGCAGCATATCCCATAAAGAAGAATTGCCAGCCTAATGCATCACCAATAATGCTGGCAATATGTCATAACAGCATTAGAAAGTATCCTGAGTCCTCTTGTGGTTTGTGCCAGTGATCCACACACTCCACATAAAACCACTCTTTTCTAACACATGAAATGTCCTTCACCACCTCAAACTGCATCCCGTTTAACCACATGACTCATGGTTATTATGTAATATGAAAACCCTCCGTTTTCCAGCCTACACTGAGATTAGGTCTGAATTGTTAGTGTGTGCAGTCTTATCTACTGTACATGGAACAATGCACCTCACGTTTTATTTGGGAAAACACATTTGAAGCCCCCAGTCCCAGTGAGAGTGAATTCTGATGTGGGGAAAGGCGACGTGAGGCAAGACGCAGACTGGTAATCCTCTTGGCCAAGTGGGGGCCTCCAGTGGGCTGACTTCCACTCCCACTCACGCCCCCCTTCTCTGTCCCCCGTCAGCACTGACAGGCCTCCCCATCCAGGAACAGAAAGGCCATCTGGTGTTTGTTTGGGACAGTTCACAGGCAGGATGTACTGTGTTTATGAGTGTGTCAGCAATCATGCCTGTATGAGTGTTTATGTGTGTGTAATAGGCTGTGGGCAACATGCTTGAACTCGCATTTGTCTGTGAAAGCCAATAAATTGCAGGTGAGTTACAAATGTGTGAGAACAGAACACACAGTGGATTTACCCCGAAGGATTACTGTACAACAACTAGTACTGAGTGTCTTCACACCCACTGGATGACTTCATAGCCTGGGGTGTTGGTTATGTGTGACCCAGGAGTGTCTATGATGCGAGTGTATACATAATCAGAATTGGAGGTGTGTGAATACACTTTATGCGTGGATGACTGCTATTTGACTACAGGCAATAGCAGGTTGTCTACAAGAACAGATCATGAACACAGGAGGTCAGACTGTATAGGGTTAATCTGTGTGACTGGAAGTCCAAATATCACATTAACCTAGTTCAACACACACACACACACACACACACAGCTGTTCACAGGCATCTGTCATTATTGCAGTGATTATCGATGTAGCCTACTTCCACCTGACTCACGATGATGACTAGTAGGTTAGTTGATCACCCAACTGAATAGAACAGTAGCCTACATTTGTCATACAGGTGTGCCTCTTTTATCTAGCAGAGAGTGGACATTCACAGTAGAGATGAAGACTGAAAGCTTCTTTAGATTACTTACCAAGCAGCGCACAGGCAAAAAGGAGCGCACCGGTTGCCATTGTTTGTTGCCCCGCAGATCCACTTGTAATATTCCCTTCAGATGAGGAAGGGGGTGTCTGGTCGGGTTTGACAGTGTGGTTAACCGCTGGTCCTGAATCGTAAATAAGATCTACGAATCCCGGATGACAAACACGGCTGGGGCTTGTCCTGAGAGTCAAATCCACAGCCAGTTAGTCCGTCGGGTTGCCAGCGTCCGACTCACCTCTCCGGTGTCCTCCTGATTTAAAGGGGAAAAAAACCTGGGGTGAAGCTTCCCCCTCACCTATCTTCCTTTTTATCACTGACGACTTGTGCGTATGGCAGGCGCCTGGGCGACCCAACCCACTCCCGGTTTACTACGCATCCGAGACTGCGGAGGCGATTCACACGCGCAGCCCCCTCGGAAATAAAAGACGAAAGTCCAGCTTGACTTGTGCGTATTTGCACAACCTGACTAGACAAGAGTCTAAAACGTGTACAGGGGATCTGAGAGAGTGCTGCCGGTGTGGAGGCAAGCTGGAATAAGTCCTTGCTATGATTTTCCTCCCCTTCGTTGATGGGAGAGCAAATCTCAGTCCTATCAGGCTCTGGCTTTCTCCACGGCAAATCCCGGAGACTATAATCAATCTCCCACTATCGCTCCGCAGAAAGCCCAATGGGCGGGCGCTCTAGATGAATCAGACAAGGCTTTGTGCTCTGACACAATAAATGAGATTAATCAATGCGCACTCTAACCCCTAACACTGGGTTCTTAATTGTACTACCAATACACCTGAGCCAGTGTGTCCTAATTCAAAGCACGAAAATGCGCAAAAAAATTGCAAGATGTCTTAACAGCCATAAAAAAGCTGCTTTACTCGTGAGTTCCAACACTAATTATAATCTGTCTGACAAATGCTGTGATCTGGTCCCAGACAGAAACAGTCCACTGCGTTTTCTTCTTCCAAGGTTATTTCCCTGCTTCCGGCTTGGCAAATCACTTTTGTTTGCCTGGGCAGTTTGAAAACTTAGCAGCGTGCTGTCTGCCCCCACCCCCTTCCAAAGACCACGCCCCGGCCGTGTGGGACACCGTCCGCTGTGGGAGAGAGGCATAGGGGAGAAGCCACATTTGCATTTCTGAATTTAAATTCTAGGCCAGGTCGTTGGTGGTTTGAATAGGTTAAGCGAAGTGGATTGTAATTTAGCCTCTAAAGATACCAATTTTCTCATCGTTTTATTCTGCAGGGTAAAGTTTAACCAGCGTTTGACTTTAATAATTATGGCACTAAAATGGCACTATTCTCCACATAAAAATTGCATAATGAGTGGGTCTTCCAAATGAAATATAAACACATCCATTTTATAAATCATTTATGGTGTTTACTTTTTTTATGCTGATCACCAATATCACCTTCTCATGCATAATTAACCCAGAAGTGTGTTATGGACAAACAATTTCCATCTCACACACACACACACACACACACACACACACACACACACACACACACACACACACACACACACACACAACTGGCAATCAGCATAATAAGGTGCCACACTGCTGCTTGGTAACTGTAGGGAATATCCGCACAAACTTTCTTTTCACATTCAACACATTATAGTTCACCTTTCAGAGAATGCAAATTAGAAAATCAATCCCTCTTTGATTCAAATCATAAGCCAAACCAAGCATTACTTTGGAATATGCAGTTTATTTATTGATTAGCACGACTCTGCTGCAATATTAGGAGTATCTCAAAATAGACAGGGTGTAGGAAGTTTGAAGGGAAAAAGAAAGTATCACATTGAGAAAATACTGGTTTGGTGGGAAGTTGAAGTGAATGTAAGAGTGTTGGAAATGCCAGAAATATAGACTACAACCCAAAAATCCCTTTTTGTATTATATAAATAAATTAGCAGGCTTTTGCATGTGCATACAAAAAAAGTAATTGCAATGGACCCATCTGGCATTGTCTTTATCAACTGTGAATCGCATGTTTCGAACACTGCCTGAATACAGCATGAAAAACCTTTTTTGGAAGCAGTAAAATTACTTTTCCCCCTTCATTGTGCTTGACTTTAGCTTGGATAAAACTTGGTGAAATGTGTCTGAGCCATAAAGATATTTACACAATATGGTATGTTATTGAACTGTAAGCTCACATCTGAAAAACAGTTGAACAAACTGTTAAATGAAATAAAGATCTATTATAACCCTCGCTTTGTTTTTTTCTGTATTATATTAACAGATAAGAGAGGCCACTTTTAGCATGTTTGTATACAGAAAAGGCTCTAGCAGACATTGCTGCCAACCAAATGTAAGTCAGAAGGATATTTTTCACTTGTATGAAGCACGTGGGCTATTGTTTCATCTTCTCTAAAGATCTATTCAGGTCCAACGCAGCTGAATTAATACAGAGCAGGCTAGGTAGGCCATGTGCATTACACCTGGTCTACATATTGCTGCACCTAAATTTAGCTCAGTCCTCCATAGATTCCTTATCACCTGGACGAGAGATGGCACAGTTTGCACAGGCAGGCAGCTAAAAGACAACTGTAATGTTGTTTGAGCGCAGCATCATGACATCACAGAAGAGGAGATCACCTTTGACCCCTCACGCCAGTTTTGGCAACTATTCATAAGGTTGTTTGCTTGGAGGAGAAAATGCTTTAGAGGAATGTTTGCAAGTATAGTGGGTGCTGGGGATCACAATAGGTCTCCATGGAAACAGAGAAGTCTGCACTGTGTGCACTCCATAACAGTGTCCATCAAAGGTATTGATAGCGAAAGCCGTTTTCTTATTCTTTCGTCATTGTACGACACTTTTTAAGGGCCACTTATTCATAAAAAATCTAAAAAATCGTAATATTTCAGTACCCTAACAGCACAAGTCCTGATGAGCTCGTGTCAGCAATGTTAAAGTGAAAGGTTAAGGAGAAAGAGAGATATACTTAATTCATCATACACACATTTTCATAGTATGTCCCCAATGTATATGAATTATGGATTTGATATATCTGTGCATTTCTCTCCACTCTCACATGTCAGTTTACACTGGAGTATGTGGAGGCAGTTCATAGACAAGCATACACACATTCATATTCAAATGCATACGTTAATGCAAATCTGCCCACATGGCAGTGTCACATCAAACTAGACATGAAATGTGCAAGTGAAAACATATGTACCAAACAAACATGGAATCACGTGGAACCTGCTTGGTTGAAGAATCACAACAGAGCTCAGCTGCACAGAGAACACAATGTGCCCTGTTACACAAATCGTCTCTGAAACAAAATAGAAACTATAAATAAGTAAACAAAAGCTTTTTGTTCTGATAGAGTCAAAAAGCAGTATAAAAAAAACATTTCAAATTCCTTCTGGTAATATTTATTTCTGAGAGGCTTCCCTCAAACTATTGGGACAAAAAAAGGCAGAGAGGGATTGGGAAATAATCTAGATGGGTGAAGATAAGCAAATAACAGCGTAAAACAAATATAATGCAAATTATATGCAATAATGTTGCAATATGTGCTTTACCTGAATAAAACATAGGTACGGTAAGGTAGAACGTAGAAAGTAGTGGGCATTGCTTATGGGGAGAACCACTACTTGCAATCCATCAACAAGTATGGACACATTCACAATCCTAACGTTTCTCCTAATACAAACACATGTGGCAGGTATGCTTCTGCTAGAGGGCCATGGCTGCATGCAGAGTGTATGGTCACAGGTACCAGCCTGACATATTGTCATACCTTATATGCAGTGGGTTTTGACAGTCAGCAGACTGACAGACAGCAGGCAGAAGGCAACTCTCCAGCTGGGACCAACCAGATTTAAGAGTGCAACCCTTCTATCTAGGATTTAATGTGAGCTGAGTCACTGCACAGTCAAAGTAATACTCTCCAATTTCTCACGCCACACTTCACATTGGCTCAGATGATTACACACTGCATTGTCAGACAACCTTTGATTACAGCTGAGGCTGATGCAGTCAGAGATGTAATTTTGACTTTACGTTACAAACCAAGTGTCACTATTTTGTTTAAAGCTAAAAATCAGTTATTCAAACATACAGCCCTGCATACCAAAACTTATGGTGTACACATTCATACCCGCAGTCAGAGCTTTTACATTGCATTAGCCTGCAAGCAGCACAAATCGCTACATTTTTTAACAGATTAATTATTCATTTATGGGCTCTTAATGTAAAGTATTAATATGAAATGACTTTTTTTTTTACCTTTTATCTGTCAGTGTTCTTTTCCATCCTTCACTTATGATAGCCCTTTTCTATCTCTTTGTCATTTCTGTGCTTCATGCACTCAGACTTCTTTTCGCTGCACATGAAAGCTCTGTTTGCAATGATTGCTTTATAATGATATGTACCAGTACATAAGTGTTTGTCTGAATCTGAATGCATGTTCATTTTTGTAAGTGCACACATGTGTTTGCACTGTAATGTTTTATTATTCATTGTTTAAGAATAACTTCGCAGTAGACCCTGCATGTAAACAGGGGTAGAGGATTCCAATAGCAAGTTTTGCAGTAATTACTATACTTTAGCAAAATGGTCCTCCTCTCTCCTTTTACCTATGCAGGTGGTTGTGCCAACACTGAATTGTGTTTATTTAAATCTCCTTTGTTCTCAAATTATAGCAAAGCTGACATTGCAACAACCATACAAAGCACCACATGCAACGTGTGTTATCATTAGCTGGCATGTGGTTTTAAGATATATCCTATATATTTAGTTCTTGTAAATGAGTACTGTGGATGAATGTGACAATTAAAGGCTTTTGAATGCAGTGAACACGCGTGTGAACATCTGAGCTACATTAAATCCTTTTGCCCAGCCTGGGTAGGCTTGACTATTATAACACTGTATTACTTTAGTTGTTAATATACAGAGTGTCAGCAGCAAAGCCACCAGGCCACACTGAATAACAAAACAAGTCAGATACAATTATAGCTTGTTTTTGGCAGCGGTGTGGATAAAATCCTCCTGTGTCATGAAGAAGGACAGCTGTGTGCACTTGTTCTTTCGTTGCATGAGGCAGAACTAATTATCTTGGATCTTCATTAAAAATAATTTTAGCAAGGTTCACACAATTGTGTTGCATAAATCTCCCTTGTTCTTTTCGTCTGTCTGTCTTTGTCTTTCTTTCTCATTGTGATTATATGGGTGTTGCCAACCTGCAAACACAGCTGAATGTCATACATTATTCATCTGTCATGTACTGGACAAAGTGAAATGCAAAAGCATGCGGAAGCACACATGCGGACACTGTATTCTCAGGGAATAGCTCATCAAGGCAAGGGGTGAGCTTAGAGACACTGTGAACATTGTTCAACTTTACACCCAAAAACACAAACTACATTACACAACATGCACACATTTCATCATCATCCCTCGCAGGTACAGGCTTGTCCTTTTTTGCTGCTGGGTAACAACAACAAAGCAGATGCTATCTATCAGACTACAGACTGGAACATAATTTGCTTTTCATGGTCACACTTACTGAAGCTTTTGCTTTGTGTTTGCAGAACAAGGAAACAAATTCTCACCACACACCTCTGTAAAAATGGCATGACGCATGGCAGTAAGAGGAAGTATGTAGGCAGAAATAAGCATTTGGAGGCACAGACAAAACACCACTGGATTACTGAATGCATTTCCTCAACATGTAAACAAATATGGGAACTGCTTATTAAATTGTATAAATCTTACTATAATAGATAGTATTAATCCCTTACATCCGTTACTTTTACATTGTGTCACTAGAACATTTGATTAATTGAACTAATAAACTGAAGAAGATGACATTATTTTAGTCGGTTGCAGTACAGGTTCATTTTACTGAGGTGGCAGTGAAGTGTAGAGAAATTATAGGGTAGTTTAAATGCAGTAGATTTCAGAGGTTTTTGATACTTCCCTTTTATACTAACACTCAAACAACAGTTATTATCCAAGCTGGGTTC